ACTGGTAGTTATTCTATAATAATTTAAGAATAAATTATAATAAATAAAAATGTATCGCATTTGTTCAGGACTTAAGAACTTCATCATAGAAAAACGTAATTGCTAATTACTGTACATTGCTCAAATTGGAACACTATCTATAGAATAGACTTTTCCAAAATTATTAAAATATTCTAACACTGAATAGTACCTGGAATTATTATTTTATTAATTATTCAACATATTATACGAAATATTCATATCAAACAACTTGTAATTTGAAACAAAATATATTTATGATTTGAGTATTTCCGTGGCCAACGACTCGCTTCTTGATAACAATTTAGGTGTGGGACCTATCGCATATATTCTGTCAGTAGCCTGCAATTACCACGGTACAAAATTCCTGAAGAGATCTCACATAATACCTATAGGTTCTGGCGGGACTTAACGAGATAAAAAAACGGATTTATTTTTATAATGGAACGCCCATTATACTGACGCAAACCCCGATGATGATAGTGAACAATGATAGCTTTTTTACTTCCAATATTTCAAATATTGTGACGTCCAACGCGTGGGTGAAAAACATAATATTGTACCTATATTATTGTGTACGAAGACACGTGGGCGGTGAAATCGGCTCGGAGTGGCGACCAGTGGACTTGTATGCAGGTATTGTGTCCGCCGGAATTTCGACAAAGACTAAACTATCAAATTCTCGTATCATTTGCATACTATAGGCGACTGAATAAAAAAAAAATACCACACTAGATAGGTATGTACCTGCTTGAAAAGCAGTCATTTGAAATTAAAAAAATAAATAAATAACCAAGATGAAAGTTTAACGTTTGTCCAGTATCTGCGAGCAATCATAAAAGTATAAATATTTAATAGGATTTAGTTAACATTGTACACATATGTGTGTGACTGTAGTCACTGATTATAAATTATTCGTATTATAATAATATACTCACTATCTCACTATTTTCTTGAAAATGATATTTATTCGATCTGTTTATATAACATAATGCAAATTACAAACACAATCGGATGTATGTCGTCGGCTACTTTTACTTTTTAAAGTTGTCGCCACTAGATATTTATTATGTGTGTATGAAATGAAAATTCGGTTAAATAATGTAGATAATATTCTATTTCACACGAATATCATAAACCGTATTAGCGATTATATACTACCTTTAGTACCACTAGACCGGATAGGATAACTGGAAAAATTAGGTCTGTTCGCGCGGCCCGTGAAAAATGCAATTTAATTCTCCGTGTTACATAAATAATGTTCATTACACGATTACACAGTTATATAAAATAAGCCATAAGGTATCTTACGGCTTCCAATGTCGTTATGTTTGGTTTGCAGGTATTGTATAGAAAATATTTTCCATTTTTTGGCATGGAATATAAATTACCTGGTAATCCTCAAATACTTAATTCCGTGGCGCCAAACACATAATCTTGCTACACTATATACTTCCGTCCTGTCTACACCTATAAACACACCGCAGTCAACTACTGTAGAGCTAGTGCGTGTTTAAAAATAATATATTGGTAACCATTTCCCATACAACACAGCTTAGCGGATTCACATTTTATTGATTTATATATTTTATAATATGTTTAATATTTTTTAAGCAGTCCTCCTCGTGTGTCAGGCTGACGTATAGGACAGTGGGCGGTTAACACTGTTTTAGGTTCTGTATTAGCTTCTGTCACAACAATGTATACATAATATGGCGCCACAGCAGGTTATTAAATGTATATTAATTTATTTATATACGTATATTGGCATTTGGCATAGTCCACACAAACAAACAGTTTGGCTATACATGTATATCGATTAAAAAGGGAACCGATATAATTTATACAAGTCTTTTACAGCGCATGTACCACGCTAAATGAAATATTATGACGAATTTGTTTTTTTCTAATACAAGTTATGAAAGAAACTTCATGATATAAATGTAGTATAATATAGCTATATGTACGTGGTTGACGTCATGAAAGACTAATAGCATTCTGACAACTGATTATTTTAACTCGGAAACCAGTAGAGCACCCCACACATAAAATCAACTTCAATTGCGCAGTTCTAAAATTACTAACTGGCTGGTTTCTCTATTTGCTTTCCGATATTATTATAATGTCTGAACGACGAAAATATGAGACTCTATCTTACAGATATAATATAAAGATGTTAAAAATTAAAGTAAGATCTATTTGTCTATTAATATTGTAGTTCATCTATACGAAAACGAAGGTTATAAATGTTATTGATAAAAAAAAAATACTTATTGAAGGTATTATTCAACTATAATGGTCACAAGTCATCATATATACCAATACTTTAAAAAAAAGTATTGCGAAAGTGACCGGAGCATTCAATCGGTATCAATATTTTGTGTATCCGAAAAAAAGTATAAACGTGCTTGCAGTCGAATTTAAATCTAAGCCGTACGTGACATTGGTGGTAAATAGAATGAATAGGAGAACTATTACAAGTTAGGTACATTGGGAGTGGAGAACCGCGTTTCACGTGATCCTACAAACCCGGTTTTCTCTTATTGATTTTAAACGTTTGTGGCGAACCACATTGGAACGAGCAATACGGTGACTGCGGTTTACGATCAATTGGAGCACGTAAAAATGTGTTATTTTTTATTGATTTAAAATGTGTTCCTATATTTTATTGATGACTTGGAAAATAAACCGAAAACGTGGGTGAACCAATGGCCTAAACCAGTTACACCATGAAAAAAATATATAAAAATTAAATTTTTACGGGATTAGTAAACGTGATTTAACTCAAGGTACCACTATATATTATAATATGTGCATTTTTTTTTAAAAATTCTACCTTTATAAAAAGAAAAACTATTTCAGAAATGTCCACTTTACGTCTACACAACACTCTTTATAATATGTCTTTCGTTTAGAAAACACAAATGGTTGAAATGATACCAATTACAATACTGCTATAATAATAGGCCCCAACGTGACAAGTACCTTGAGCTGTATAGTAGAAGATACCACTGTATAGTGTACGTTTAGAAATTATATTTTTTTCACGCGTTTATCATATTATATTATACTAACGACGAAATGAGAATACGACACGCAATTCCTATATCAGAAAAATAGAAAGAAAGTTGCTAACCTATACATATCGATCGCGAAAAACGTGCACGTGGAGTACGTGACGAGAATATTATAAACGTTATTTTTTTTTGTTAATTTTATAAACTTCCTGTTCAGGCTATTACAATATTATTATAAAGGTATATGTTGTCGTCATAATATCTGGGAAGGTAGAAGTACAGACGGTGCATTAGGTAAACGTTTTTTATGTACCGAGGACTTGTGTTTTTGAGTATACTTATTGAGCCGTTCTCAAAATGGGATATTGAGAATGGACCAACCAAAGTCCAACTTAAATATCAACAAAAACATCTACAATATATTGTATACCTTTTGGAGCATTAAAAATCCTTCAATCAATTTTAAGGTTAACTTAAACTTTGGATATGGTTGGCACTTTGGGGGATCAATGTTAAAATTCTCAGAACTTTTCTAAATGATTGGAAGGGGATTAAAAAAATGGGAGCTATTAAGGAACACCTGTTTTCGACAAAATTGCTTCTCTTACTTTGTTGCAACTCATAAATTTATATACATAGAGTTTTGGCTTTTTTTTCTGAATATTCATATTACTATAGCATTTAGTAGAGATGAAAACATTTCCAACATATTCACTCTTTTTGTTTTATTTATAGGTATTTTAAATTGTTGACTATTTTTAGTTTTTTATTGATTTATGAGTGATACAACTACTGTTTTCTGGTAAAATAAAATTGAAAAATCCATACACTATCCCGTGTTAGTTTTTCATGCGAGAATTATAAAAAAAATTGAACTCAATTCCCAAATATTTTATATGACGAAATAAGTTTTCATACCACCTCCATCTGAAAGAAAGTCACTGCACGAGGATTAAGTGTCTACCACGAAGGCGGGTAGTAACGAGAGGTTAACCATTTATTATTCAAAAGCACCTTGTAGGAATTATGAAAATTTAATTTATATCTCCAGCACTTGTTGACAATATATTTTATTTGCTTATAATATAATGTATATTCTATACTTGTTGTAAATAATATATGCATTGTAATATTATTTTAACAACAGACTTAGAAATCCACTCACGTGGCATAATATATAAATATTTGGATTGTTAAGAATTGTTGTAATTTCTATTTTTCATTATGTCTTCATAATATGTATAATAATCTATAGATCCGTTCTAAATAGATCACGTATACTAGATCTGCAGCTTAAGTAGATAATTATTTTGGCCGGCAACAAATTAATTGGGTAGTGTGTGGTTTCAGCGGTGTGTCCTGAATACTGGACGTTTATCTCTATACAGATCTAGTAATATGTAGGTGAACTATTATTTGTATTTATATTATAATTACAATGAAATAATTCAGCGTTTGAGTCATTTTGAAATTTAACACTGTTGAACGAATAACAAAATAATATTTTTACTTTGAATGATAATTATTTACCAAAAAAAAACAGCAATGCTTTGTTTTTAGCAGCAACTATATTACTGCAAGATCAAAAATAAATAAAACTTTTGATAATTTTTGATTTTGTATTAAATATCTTAAGATATTAAATTATTAAGCAATAGAGAATATGTGAAAATAACTAAATTATGCAAAAATATAAGAAACATTAATTATGTTTGTGAGTTTGCTTTTGTATCAGTAATGAGAAAAAATGTTTTAATGAACTTGTTAAAAGCATTATAATTTATAATATATATATATAATTTCTAAAAAAATAATTATCGAAATCGCGCGAATGCATACCAAGTATTATGTACATGACTAGCACAGCAATGTGTACATATTGTAATATAATATTATGTTATATAACTTAATATATTATAACATTAAATCGATTTAATTTTATTAATTTTTTTTATTTTTGCTTACCAGTACGGGCAAATGGTCAACAAAGTAGCACATGAGCAGAATGGCCACCACGTAACCAATGCGGACGTCCTGGACCAGTGACACGCGTTTGGCCAGGCACGGGGCACGGCTGTTGGTGGACGTGACGGACACGGACGCAGCTGTAGACGGCAATTGATACCGGGAACCCAGGCCACCGCCGCCACCATACCGGTACGGTCTGATAGTGGACGCGGCGTAGCTGTCCCGATCGCTGCTCGTCAGCAACGTGCCAGAGTCGATGAGTCGCTTGGTCTCGTCCATCCTGCGGAGCGTGTCGTCCTCGGCAACAGCGCCGTTCTGGTGGTGCATCAACGCCCTGGGCGCGCCATTGAGGAACGTGACCGGCGGGGCGTTACCGGCCGACGGCAAGCGGAGCAGGTCGTTGACCAGTGCGCAGTCGGTTCGGTGGTAGCCGCCGGTGCCGGTGGCCGATGTGGTGCACGTCACCGTCGTACGGTCGCTGCAGTCGCTGACGCTGTGTCGTATACCTCCCCTGCTGCAGCTGGACACGGTGGATATCTCAGACATGCACGACGACAGGTCGGACGACGAGTTGACCAGCAGTGGATTGGGACCCTTCCGGTGGCCGGCGCAACCGAAAGCGGCGGACGCTGCGGCCACAGCGGCCAGGGACGCGTGTAGCACCAGCGAGAACACTGCGTACCGGCGGTCGGACGGTGGAGAACACGGGTCCGTCTGGGCGATCAGTGCCGCGGCGCCCACGCACGCACTCACCACCGACAGGCTGGCCAGATGGTAGAGCAACAGCGGCCGGCCACCAGCAGCCACAGTCCGCTTTTTGCGCCTCAGCCCGGCCATCAAGGCCAGTGACGCTAGCGTGCCGGCCTGCATCGTGTGCGCGGCCGTCCACAGCCACTGCACCGCACTGCACAGCGCCGGCTCGTCCGGCCGGAACAGCGACAGTGCCGAGCCTGCAGTACCGGCCGCCTGTTTGGCGATGGCCTCAGCCAGCAGCGCTATAAGAAGCGGGTCCGACGGCCTCCACTGGCCCCGGCCGAACCACAGCACCAGTATTGCCCAGCACAGCCATACCACAGACAGGGGACCGCCGATTCCCGTCGTCAACCACACCAAAGCTTCTGAATGCATCATTCATTTTTCTGAAAATTTCAAATAATATCTTATTATTATAAAATGTAATCATATTATCATGTTCACAGCAGTTTTGTTCATCATTTCACTCTTCAAGACTTAAATTGAAAACTTGGTTAAACAGTTGCACAACTGGGGAAGGGGGATCGCAGGGACCAGACCCCCCTTGGGCCATTTCTATAACAGGCTATATAAGATAAGCTTCTCCCGATTTATTTCTATGTGCAGTTTTTTAAAATTATTACAACTATAAGTTACGCATCCTGTTACCTCAGTTTAAACTGAGAGGTATTTTTCCACTCTGAAAAGGGTAAAAAATTATTTAAGAAACTCTACATCAGAATCAAAGCTTAAATATTCATTTTGACATTATAGAATAACATCTTAAGAAAATAGAAATATATGTGTTTTATCTTTAATGAATTGTAAAATATTACAAACATTGTCTTATATTTTCATGAAAAAAGTATTGAATATATTATATAGATTGTACGGGTACTAGAATTTTTTCTTTAATTAAAATGTGTATGTTCTAACTTCTGACAAGTATAGACCCCCCCCCCTTGAAAAAATTTTGGTTTCGTTACTGTGGTTAAGCAACAGTTCATTCCTAACTCAGCAGACGTTTTGATTTTCTACTTAAAAGAGTAAATTAAATAACTTGTCTTCCATAGGTAATTTATAATTTAGTATCAAATTTAAAACAAAAAGAAAACAATAAAAACGAAATTTTAGTGTACCTAGATAAACAATACGGTAAATATTTTTTTTTCATAAATTTACGGCCGAAGACTGTGTATACGGTAAAATAAATATGTTTAGTGGGACATTCCCATCTAAACTTAGTGTGATTACTGCTGTGAAAAATGAAAATGGGCTGTGAGGAGCCTGTGAACATTCAAATATAATATTTTACACTCGCAGTGCCGCACTGTATAATCGAAATAAATTGCGTTGCTTGTATTACATAGAAGTTTATTTTCTGTTTTAAATTTATTGCACTGACGCAAGGTCAAAATCCGAAATGTATTCATAAAACGAAAGTGCCTTTGATTTATGTAAACACGTTTTAGAATTTGTAAAACGACTACGTCGTTTTCGACCAAATTGACATTTTACGAAAACCCCATACAATAGACAGTTTGAAATATTATTGTGCAACGTATTATTCTGTTCGTGTGGATTTCAGGCAGAAATAAATTGTAAATTATAGTAAAAACTAATAATACATAACATCAATAATTATTACTGTCTTAACTTTAAATAATTATAAATCGGCAATAAATGCATAAACACAATAACAGACTAGCAATATACTGATGTATATAACGGCTATACGCGATCGTCATTTCACATATTAAATAAAATTAAATGAATATTGGCAACTAGTATAATTTTTACTATATATTTTGCCTTTTTTGAAACTGTGTTCCAATATGTTTGCCCAGTATGAAGCGTATTATATTTTTATAAAGTACCGTTACAACATTAACAAAATTAAATAATGTGAATTTGCTTAACTAAACTAAGTATGGATGTTTCTCTATGCCATAGCTTATTATGATTTTGTATTACTAGCAAACCCGTTCTCAGAAAAAAATTTGCCATAAAATGGGTATTAAAAAATAAAAATTATTGGTACCTACAATGCAGTCATGCTGTGCAGATAAATAATATATAGGTTCATACTGTATAGTGTATAATATATTTTATTTGAATCAAAAAATAAAAAAATAAAATGTAGATGGCTATAATTTAGTAGTTTAACTTAATTAATCTTAATTATTCGTTTATATTAAATTAGTATTTTCCGTTTCTTTCTGTATCTTTTTTTATAATCTAGTTAAGAAAAGTTTCAGTAATATCATATCATATGTTTAAGAATCTAATTAACCTTATAACTATATACACGCTGTTTATCTACATCTCCCTCTCAAGCTAGCTTTATAGGACTCGTCGAAAAATATATAGTTTATATTTATTTATTTATTTATTTATTTATTTATTTGTTAACGGGCTGGGCCCTATATTACAGTTATTATAATATTAATATCATGGAGTTACATATATACATTTTCCATAAATAAAATCAAACTCAAATATAGATCATAAACTCGTGGCCACGTGGATTCGTCAGGCATTCAGACAACCTCGGACACTCAGACCTAGAACATTGTACGATCAAACTGAATAATGAATGACACGACGACGACGGTTGTACGACTTGCGATATCGTTCCGCAAAATATGCATAATATTGAATAACGAGTGTTGTAGACATGCTGCAGCAGGTGTTCGAAATGCAAACGTCACGGCAGCGGTCTTGCAACGATGTTTACCACGAAAACGAACTATTTACTACTCGAGCGATTGTGTTTGTGTATATAATATTGTTGAGTTCGCGTGAACGGTTTCTCGAGTGTATAGGTATAAAATACTATACGGCGACATCATCGATCGACAAATATCCGTCGTCAGTGGCATATTTCCCATGGTAATACTATGCCTCTAGTTACGGTATGGCATCCGAAATGAGGAGGGCCTATATTATGCGAGTGCTGAGTGGTGAACTCTTTTTCGTTTCTGGTAAATATATATTAATAATATAAGATACGTACGATGTAGACTTGTAACTACTACCTACCTTTTTTTTATAGACGCAAATTATGATTTATTAGAAAACGCATGTCAATTATAATATTCAATCCAGCTGCCTATGATAATTAAACACTCCGTATTACTCTTATTAAAGTCTAGCGTCTAACCAACAAAATTCTGAGGGCTTTAGAAACATTATAGTCTATAAACACACATTAAGTATTAAACCATAACAATACCTATACCTACAATAAAAATCATTTCTATGACATTTTTACGAGACCGACGCTCTGCATAAAATCATAGTAGGAAGTGAAATGTCATTTTCCGTTCTAAAAATCTTTGAAAGTAAGTTAATATCAACTTAATCCTTGAACACCAGAAATACATAACAATTTATCTTTATTCTCGATTGAATATTATTTACCGATTCACTTCAAATAGGTATTTATTAGAAATACAATAGTATGTATACTTATTTCACTGCTGGGTAAAGAATGATGAAAAACAATATTACATACCTATTATTATTTATTTATTTATTTATAGAAGGATGACGAACACAAGTAATGAATGTTAAATTTAATATTTTGTCAATAATTATTAAATAGTCAACACAAATTGTATTTAAACAACTATTATTGCATGTACTATTATAATATGATATTTTAGTAATAAACACATACGAATTAATTAAGTACGGGAAGCAATTTTAATATTCATAATGTTATAAGTTTATAGCAATATTGTGTTGAACAAATTGTAGGTGTTTATAAGGAGAGGTAGACCTCAAAATTCCTAAACAGACACGTTGCCCGTCGGGTTAGGCTCACTATGACTATAATATAATATAATATGTATTATAAAAAGGCAATATATTCAAATATGACTTGTGTACACGTGGGGACTTATGGCAACAGCAATATGGGTGTTGACGACAAAATATTATAAAACACACCTCAAACGATTACCATTCGTTTTTGTTTTACAAACACTGCCAAAAGAACTTTAACACGATCAATTAAACGAAACCCACGGTTGCAGCGGTTACGTTAATTCATTGTATTTTACACGATGATTCGTTTAATAATATAAGACGGTCGTTCTCAGTAAACTCTTATTTTTTCGAACTTTTTTAAATTTAATTTTAAGAAATCTGTGACATTTATTTCAACACTACATTTGTGTTTAATTGTCAAAAAAAAAAAAACTTCAAATGTTTTACTTTTACCGCTGTATGTTGTTTTCATTTTATTTTTATTGTAATCTCTATTTTTAACTTTGTATTTTAAATCAAAAATGTTTCTATACATTTCATTTTTCATGAATATTAAATATTATTGAACCAGCACATAGCTTATTGTTTATAAATTTAACGTCTACAAGTGCAGAGTACTACCTATATACATATAGGTAGTTAATATTCGAGGATTTTAAAATTAATTTCCCTATTTTTGTAAAAAAAACTACCTAGACCTCGATCTAAAACTATTTCCTAGGTTAAACTTTTAAAGTGTTCAACATACTATTTTATACACTCACATTTTCAAATATTTAGTAGCTAAGTTTATGAAATAAAAATAGATGTTGCCAATTAAAAATAAAATAAAATTTAAAAAATCATAGATAATAAAAAAACAATATGATTATATTAAGGTGTAAGTAAATTACATATAAACACGCTATTAAGACGAAACATTGGCTGAAATAATCTGCTGTCTCAAATAGGTAATGAAAATCACCCTGTATATTATATACAATTACATATTATATTATTTTATTTTTATGAAAACCGGCATCTCTATAAATTTCTCTTCGAGACGAGACGTGCCACGTGCACCAAGTACGTGTATTTTCGCGCTTATTATAAAAAAAACCAGAGGGTCGACGACGTAATTTTCTCTCTCTTTCTCTCTGTTCGCTTTTCACCAGTTCTCCACGAAAATATATTCATGTACGACGGGTGGTATAATCATATATATTAGTCGGTACCTGGCAAGTGTTTGCTCTCGGGATAGAAATGCGAGTATACCTTCACATACATTTGTTACACACGTCGCTGTGTGTATTATAATGCCGCGTTAAACCGTGAGCACGATGGTTTATTTTTTTTTTCCAACGCGGATTACGCATAAAGCACGCGTTTAAAGAAATTCATTAGAAAACATATTATACGAAGCGAGTTCTGCACTGACATAACAACCGTAACAGTAAGCATTTTTGCGTAACCATCAGTCGAGTCATACGCGTCGTATGAATACAATGTAATGTAATATGCGCATTATTATTAATATTGCTATTACTATGTACCTACCTGCAACAGCTATATGGTTGTGCATTATATAGTCACGACGACGGTGATATATATTTCAGGGTGGGTGTCACATTTTGTATAAATTATAGACGTACAATAAATAAACCACTAATAA